GGCAGCAGAAACCTGGACACAAGATGTCAGGCAGACATGGGCAACCAAAATTACAATAGGGGCTACTGTCCCCCCACTGAAAATAGTCTCAACTGTGATATTTACATATGAATGGGCGGCACTATTTACATATGAATAAACCACGACTCATTCTCCAAAAAAAATCAGCGCATCGCTAGAGTGTGTTCGGGTTTCGCTTGCAGAAAAGGTGGCAACTCTAAGGACGTCCCATGCTGAGAGATGGCAGTACCTGGCACCAATGGGGGGGTCACAAAATAAAGACACTTCTGATCTTCCTGTCTGAGCAGCACTCTGTAATTCTTGGCCAGTCATCAGAGTCAGCAGAGGATTACTCAGCTCTATGATAATTAGTCATGCCTCAGTCCCTGTGCACAGCACAATCACAGCTCTGTTTAATTGGGATGTAAGGCGTTTGCTGCCATCGGGAAGAATGGTTGCTCTAGGTCACGTCAGATCACCATCTTCATGAGATTAGGCTGTATCCAATTCAATCTTCTCCTTATTAAAGGATCCGTCCACCCCAAAATGATATTTCCATTGTAGGTTGAGCTTTCTGCCATAAGTCATCCTCTGACTTCTTACATGATTTGGATGTTCCAAGAGCGAGATCTAACTTCCATAATTCCTGATTGTTGATGTTCACTTGGGAGTCTCCGCCCACTTTTGTGTATCCCATCTCATCTTACATTTTCCACAATATTAAATAAATAAGAAGTCCAGCAGGGAAGGTGGAACCCTTCATAATGGGAACAACAGGGGCTCAGAACTGGGAACTCAGCACAGAGATGGTGGGAGACCTTCATAATGGGAACAACAGGGGCTCAGAACTGGGAACTCAGCACAGGTATGGTGGGAGCACCTCATAATGGGCACAGCAGGGACTCAGAACTAGGAACTAAGCACAGGGATAATGGGAGACCCTCTTAATAGGCACAGCTGGTATTCAGACCTGGGAGCTCAGCGCAGGGATGGTGGGAGCCCCTCATAATGGGCACAGCAGGGGCTCAGAACTGGGAACTCAGCACAGAGATGGTGGGAGCCCCTCATAATGGGCACAGCAGGGGCTCAGAACTGGGAACTCAGCACAGAGATGGTGGGAGCCCCTCATAATGGGCACAGCAGGGGCTCAGAACTGGGAACTCAGCACAGAGATGGTGGGAGACCTTCATAATGGGAACAACAGGGGCTCAGAACTGGGAACTTAGCACAGAGATGGTGGGAGCCCCTCATAATGGGAACAGCAGGGGCTCAGAACTGGGAACTCAGCACAGGGATGGCGGGAGCACCTCATAATCGGCACAGCAGGGACTCAGAACTGGGAACTAAGCACAGGGATCATGGGAGACCCTCTTAATAGGCACAGCTGGTATTCAGACCTGGGAGCTCAGCGCAGGGATGGTGGGAGGCCCTCATAATGGGAACAGCAGGGGCTCAGAACTGGGAACGAAGCACAGGGATAATGGGAGACCCTCTTAATAGGCACAGCTGGTATTCAGACCTGGGAGCTCAGCGCAGGGATGGTGGGAGGCCCTCATAATGGGAACAGCAGGGGCTCAGAACTGGGAACTCAGCACAGAGATGGTGGGGGCCCCTCATAATGGGAACAGCAGGGGCTCAGAACTGGGAACTTAGCACAGAGATGGTGGGAGCCCCTCATAATGGGAACAACAGGGGCTCAGAACTGGGAATTCAGCACAGGGATGGTGGGAGCACCTCATAATGGGTATGCATTTCAGATTATAATAGGTATGGCTCCATGTTTTCACCCTGAATATGGAAGCATTATGAAACATAGGGGTTTCACCCTGAGTAAAGCGGGGCCTATGCAGCTGGCATGGCTCTAGTGCCCCTAGATGGCACTGACGAGTATCAGAAATTCCTATAAACTTTTATAAATTAACTCCATAGTGTGAAAGGTGGAATTAGCCATTAAGATGACCTATTAGCTCATTCAAAATGACCGCCTTAGCTCAACGCACTTTAACGCACATATATTAATTCAACAAAAGGGCCTTCGAAGACCCCCATTTTGTCTCGCACCTCTTTGTAGTTACAGTTTATTTTATGCTTCGTACTTCCGACAAATACAAATAAAATTCTAGTTTCTCTTTCTGAAATAATTTCTAGAAATAATGGATACTAAAGGAGATACCCAGCCTTCTATACACTGTGCTCACGCTCCTTTTTGTTCTTTGTTTAATGCACAGTCAATACCGTCCCTCTCTGTCTCCTCGCTCATTCTCACTGTCTGTCAGGTCACATGCAGGTTAATGTCACTTTGCCTGCGGACATTGGAGTTGTCAAGTGACTGTGTGCCTCATTCACTGCAGGGGGTGCGGATAATCAGCGAGAGGGGGGGAGTGATCGCAGAGAGGGAAGCCGGAGGAAGTCATGGTGGGAGTAGTTCTTAAAGGGTCAGCGAAGATCGCAGATATAAAATTATAATAGGAATTAATTTTATTTTATATAATAATCCAAATGGATTATTAAATTGTTTAATGTAAACTTGTTTGGCTAGTCTTGTGATCAAAGCAAGCCTGCCAGACAATAAAACCATAACCTGGACCTGCAGACTGTACCGTAGCTAAGCAATGCCACCTGCTCCAGGACCCACTCAGCTTGTATGTGTATGTGATTGTCATACAGGGCCAATTTTCCTTCCAGCATGTCTTTGGAGTGTGGGAGGAAACCCAGGCAAGTACAGGGAGAACATGCAAATTCCTTGCAGATGGGGTCCTGACCGGGGGACCCCCAGTGCTGAAGGCAGAAATGCTGACCACTACACCACTGTGCTACCCGATGTTATTATTCTCACATAAGGATACAAGCCATGATGCTCTCTTTATATGTACATTAACGTTCATGAGCTCATTTCATTCCATACTCACGTTGAACCAGGGGTATCCCTAGTCTTCTAGCTGCCTTAGGCAGGGTGTTGTTTGGAGGGTCCTTGTTGGGGGGCTTCAGCATCATCTTCCTGCCCAGCTATGGATACGACTCTGGTTGGCATCCCAGCAGGAGACGTCATTGGTTGCCAGGTACTGGGCGGGATGCCGTTCAGAGTATCTCAGGTTGCTAAGAGCTGATGGGAAGACATGTATGGCCCTTACTCATCTCACTGCCCGATTCTTAGCAACCAGGGATACTCTGGCCGGCGTCCTGCCCAGCTCCTGACAACCAGTGAGGCAACAGGCACAGTCTGCCTCATTATAGGGACCTGGAGGGTCTAGCAGCTCCTCTCATCCCACGCTGCTGGCCCACCATGGTGAGTCACACCAAGCAGCGGATCCCAAAGACTACTATCAGACGCCTTTCAATCTGTCCTGCGGTACAGAGCACTGCAGAGCACCTATTGCCTACAGGGGAAATGCAGAAGCTGCAACTAAGTAGATATAAACCCGCTGCAATGGTGGCAAGTGGGGGAACGCCTGGGGATCTCCTATGGAACTCTGCTTCAGAATCTATGCAATATTATGTCTCTGTTTACCAACAGTGGTTTCATTTTGGTTTTTGTTTTCTTTTTCTTTGCAGACTGACTACAGATCCTTGGAGAAGATACATCTTAGAGGAAACAAACATTGATACAACAAACAGAACATGGTGCACAGTCTGGAAGTGCAGGAGAAGCTACAAATTGGTCTTTTGACAGCTGTCAGTGCCGTGGGCTCATGTGACATTTTTCCTTTCATAATGTTCCAGTTTCTGACACATTGGGTTGATATCTTAGTCACTCTGCGACCTTCACGGCAATGTCACTGCTTGTTCCGGCATGAAAAATGTGATTCTTTCTGCTGACGGCGGTCAAGGAGGAGAAAGAGGGCAATATCAGCCTAGATTAGCTCAAGGACACCCCCCGCCCCCTATCATCCAAACCATCACCCAACATTGGGAGCATCCTGTGTCCATCATCAATGGGCACTGTGCAGTTTGCTCAGGGAAGAGTTAAACTCTACTACCTTTATAGGAAAGTAATTTAGTAATTTACAGCCATCAGCACATTAACATTTACCGTAAAGCTGAGGAAAGTGAAAAATCAGACAAATGAATGCACGTTTAAATGCATTTTAAAATGTATGCATTACAAACACCTGAATCTTCTTCCTGTTTAGTAGTGCTCAGACTGGGGGGAAAAGGATCAGGGCTAGGAGCCAATCAGGATTTGGTGTGGTGCGCATGTAAAGCCAGAGTGATGACCTCACAAGTGTGCTGCTTCTCTCTCCTTGTCCAAACAGCAAGCTGGGTAGGTTTTAACTAAACTGTGCTGATGTTGCAGTGGATCTTGAGGATCTGGCTTTGCGGTCTTGGATCACAAGACTAGCTGCACACGCCTAACCCTGCCTCCCATTATTTTCCACCACTTCCTGTCTCGGTGATACCGCAGGAAGTAAGAAGATCCCATTGGGGACACAGACAGCCATACAAATATGACAGAGAACTTCACTCAACAAATAAAAGTTCCATTATTTCTCTCTGTGCCCCGGTTGGAGAGATTCTCTTTACTGAAACAAACTTTTTATTGAAGTATAGTGCTTCCTTTCTCTTCAGTCTTTCCTATAATGCCTTGTTACATGGGTCTGGTCTCATTTGACTACACTGAAGGTGGAAAAAGAGGCCCATGCCTTCCCATTATTCCTTTTTAACATAAACACTGATGTCACCGTTGTCACTTAGCTGGTCTGGAGGAGGAAAAAGCGGCTTTACCTCCATGACTGCTAGCTCAAAATGTATACCCAGAATTCCCTGCCCTGTTAGATACAATGGTTATACATTGTATAAGTTCCAAAAAATGGACCAAAACATCCCTGCCCAAATTGTGTACATGACAGGTACACTTGAGGGGGGTGCATTGCTTTAATAACACGGTGGTTAGACACTGGCATGCCACTGTCACTGTGTCACCAGCATCTAGCTCTCCCCTCCCCTGACCAGCTGCCATTGCCACTCTTCCCCTGTCCATCCCCTCAGCAGTCACAGCAGATATGGCATCTGGGAGAGTGGCTCTTATAACAGGCATGAGACGGCTATATTGAGTGTTTTGTATATGTTTGTGTGCATGGTGCTTGTACCCCACCCAGCATGCCCCCTCACCCTTCTATGTGTGCATGATCCCCCACTGTCCTCTCTTTACACTTTTCTTTGCTAAGTGTTATTCGTATTATTCTGTCTGACTGTCTGTCTCATACACATCTTTTCACTTTACCTTTCACAAACTCTCTTGCCCCCTGCTCAGTCCTCTCTCTCCCTCTCTTTCTCTCTCCCTTCTCTCTCTCTTTTTCTCTCTCTCTCTATTCTCTCTCATCTACTCCCTCTCTCAATCTCCCTTCTCTCTCTTTCTCCCCTCTCTGTCTCTCCCTTCTCTCTTTTCTCTCTGCCTCTCCCTTCTCTCCCCCTTTCTCTCTCTTCTCCTTTCTCTCTCCCCTTTTACTCTCTCTCTCTCCTCTCTCTCTCTCTCTCTCTCTCTCTCTCTCTCTCTCTCTCTCTCTCTCTCTCTCTCTCTCTCTCTCTCTCTCTCTCTCTCTCTCTCTCTCTCTCTCTCTCTCTCTCTCTCTCTCTCTCTCTCCCTCTCTCTCTCTCCTCTCTCTCTCCCCTTTTACTCTCTCTCTCTCCTCTCTCTCTCTCTTTTCCTTCTCCTCTCTCTCTCTCCCTTCTCTCTCTCATTTCCCCTCTCTCTCCCTTCTCTCTCTCACCCCCTCCCTCCCTTTATCTCCTCTCTTCCTCTTCTCTCTCTCTCTCAATCCCTTCTCTCTCTCTCTCCCTTCCCTCCTCTCTCTCTCACCCCTTCCTCCCTCTCTCTCCCCCTCCTCTCTCTCTCTCTCTCTCTCCCTCTCTCTCTCTCCCTTCTCTCTCTGCTCTCCTCTCCCTCTTTCTCTCTCTCTCCCCCCCTCCCTCTTGTTCCCCCTCTCTCTCTCACCCTCACTCTCTCTCCTGCCCCTTTCTCTCCCTTCTCCAACCATCTCTCTCACCCTTATTGTCTCCCTTCTCCCCATCTCGCTCTCCCTCATTTTCTCTCTCTGTCTTTCTCTCTCCGTCTCTCTTCTCTCTCACCCTCTATTTTTTCTCTCTACCTTCTCCCCCCATCTCTCCACCATTCTCCCCCTCTCGCTTCCCTCCCCCTCATGCTTTCTCTCTCATTCTTTCTTTCTCTCTCTCCCTTATCCTTCACCCCCTCTCTCTTCTCTCTTCCTCATGCATCCACTCTCATTCTCTCTCTCACTCTTTTCTCTCAGTCATTCTCTCCACTTCCTTCTTTCCCTCATTCTCCCACCCACTTTCTCTTCCTTCTCCCCATCTCTCTCTCTCTCTCTCTCTTCTCCCCCATTCTCTGCTTTCTCCCATTCTTTATTTCAGTAATGCCCCCTCCTGTGTTTGAGATTTGACAGTTCAGGTCTATATATATATCAGAGATATAAATACATGGCAGTGGGTGTGTGGGTGTGTGTATATTTGTATATATCTGTAGGAGAACCTTTTTTCGGTCTTGATCAATTATAAATGTGATCTGCGTGTCGAATGTCATGCTTTTATTGAAATGTAGCTGGTGGACTCAAAGCTTCTCGGCATATGTTACAGAGGCATACATGGAAAGACTTTACAGATGTAAATGTGTGTACACGTCACCGAATCAGCTGCTGACTGAGTCATCTGTAGCACATTTCCGTAGAAGATCTATGAGCGAGGCGAGTGCAGCTGCACAAGGGCCCCTAAAGGCTGCAGAGGGCCCGAATTCACATATCTATTGTCTGTGACAGCATATGTACCCCTGGGCAGGAAAAAAGTCCAATGCTGTTTGTGATTTATTTTGGATGTGACACGGGACTTGTTTTCCCGGTCCCAGCCGAACGCATTGGTGTAGGAGCTATGAAAAGTGAGGGATGGAAAGAAAGAGTGAGAGAGAAAGAAAGAGCTGAAGAGAAGGGAAGATGAGAGAAGGAAGGAGATGGGAAGAAAGAGAAGAGGAGAGGAGGTAGAAAGCAAATGGAAGGAAGGGGAAGGAGGGAAGGGAAGAGAAGAAGAGAGAAGAGAAGACGAGAGGGGAGGACAGAAGTCCATTGCTCTATGTGATTCAGTTTGTATGTGACGCAGGGCTTTTTTCCTTTGTTCTGGCCAAAAGTATTGGTGCAGGAGCCAGGAAAAGTGAGGAATGGAGAGAGAGAAAAAGCTGAAGAGAAGGCAAGGCAAGAGAGGGGGGAAGGAAGGAAAGAAGGAGAAGGAACAGAAAGGGAAGAGAGGAGAAGAGAAAGGGGGAGAATAGAAATGATGAGGAGTGGAGAAGGGAGGAGGTAGAAGGGACATGGATTGGTGCAGGAGCCAGGAAAAGTTTTGGGATGGAGAGAGAGTGAGAGAGAGAGGAAGAACATAAGAACATACAAGAAGGTAAGACAAGGAAGGGGAAGGAGGAGCGAAGGGGAGAGAAGAAGAAGAGAGAATGAGAGGTGAGGAAAAAGTCCATTGCTCTGAGTGATTCAATTTGGGCGTTTTTGCTCGGTTCTGGCCCAATGGTTTGGTGCATGAGCCAGAAAAAGTGTGGGATGGAAAGAAAGAGAGAGAAAGAGGAGAAGGAAGGAAGATGAAGAGATGGGAAGAGAAGAGTGGAAGAGGAGAAGAGGGAAGCAAAGAGTAGAAGAGAAGTGAAGAGGAGAGAAGAGAAGATAGGAGATAAAAGTGAAATGGATTGGTGCAGGGCCCTGGAAAAGTGTGGGATGGAAAGAGAGAGAGAGAGGGAGAAGAGAGGGGGAGAGAGAAAGAAAAAAAAAACAGAAGAGAAGGTAAGGCAGGGGAGGAAGAAAAGGGAAGAGAAGGTAAGGCAGGGGAGGGGAGGGAGAAAAGGGAAAAGAAGAGAGAGAAGATAAGTGAAGAAGGGAAGAGAGGAGGTAGAAAGGAAAGATAGGTAGAAGGATCAGAGTGAAGAGAGAGAAGCCAAAAAGAAATTTAGAGAAGGGAGAGAGAGTGACAAAAAATATAATTGGGCAAGTTCCTTTACAGGTCACACTTCTCTACATCCCCAAATTTGTACTCTGATTCTTTTAACTACACAGCTGCCTGTGGAGGAAGGACCTGGTATTGAGGAATCTTCACATATAATGGAGCTCTTTTCAAATAAGAGACCAAAAAGCTACCACCGCATCAACAAAACATATGATGTATATTTGTGTAACAAACGTTTTGTACTTAGATTAACTTTGGTTGGTGTGGCAATTTCTTGGTCTATTATGTATTTGAAAATGTCTTAAGTTGAATCATTGCCTGCAGACGTTTGGTGGTGCCGTACCCGTTGTGTAGACATAATGGAACTGTGTGACAGCAGTTTAAAGAGCGTCTTCGGTTGCTTATGATAGACAGACAAGACTGATGGGTCAAATCCAGGGCCAGATCGTATAATATAAACCTCCGGGAGGTTATCTTTGTTGTTGGCTTTTCATCTGTCATGTTCACACTCTGTGATTTTTTATTGTCTTTTATTCTGGGCAATGTCACAAAAGTCCAATATCATGAAGGAGAACTCAGGTCTAATACAGCTGCTGAAATTACTGAATTTAACCCTCTTATCACCTCTTCCTGCAAGGACAGAACTTTCAATATACAGCCTACCAGTAACCCTGGCAAATTTTGTGCCCATCCATCCCCATATTCTACATCATGCCAACTGAGCAGCTCAGCGGCCACATATGGGTCCTACTTTTTAAAGTCCTTCCTTATGTACCTTTAGCTGGCCGTGCACCTAAACTGTCGATTCAACTTTCTTGTCAAAATTAATATGCATTTCCTTTTTTTATTTTGATTTTTTAATAAACTGCATTGAAGCTGCCAATCTATTGCCCAGTTTTGATTTCACAATCAACCTAATTCTGGTAGTCGATCAAATTCTTGGGCGGTCGATTGCTTAGTTTACAATGTCTGTCTGCAGTCCAGCTTTAAAAGGGTTCTTCTATTATTCAGTGTGTTTTCTGACGTAGTATTATGCTTCTTTCCCATCTAGAATTTATCTGGCTGTGTTTGGTTGGAAGTCTTTGTGATCAGAATGTCTACCCTAAAGTGGGCACCCTCTTTGTACACAAACTGGATGCTGAGGATTACCAGCAACAATTCCTGAATAAATCAGGTGAGTGCAGAATGCAAAACCAATGGATACAAGCTGGCTTATCCAATGTATTTCTAACCTTTTGCCAGGAACTGCATGGGGTCTGTTAATAACCAATTTGCAGAAACATTCATCTTAAGAATCTTTCTGAACATTTGTTATGTGCAAACAGACACAGAAACTAATGTTCTTAGATACAGTTTCTTTTCAGGTCGAATGTATGTAATGTAATACTGCATTTTGGCCATTAGATGAAGCTGAGGAGCATTTTCTTTTCAGGTCGAATGTTTGTAATATGCTACTGCATTTTTGCCACTAGATTGAGGTTAGGAGCATTTTCTTTTTTGGTTTAATGTATGTAATGTAATATTGCATTTTGGCCACTAGGTGGATCGGAGGAGCACAGGAAATAAATACTAATCATAAATAGTGATGGGCTCAGGCGTACTCGCAGCTCCACGTGCCGAGCCCACCAGGAAGCTGACAGCGCCGCAGCGCCAATCACAGGAACTGAGACATATCCCGATCTCTGCAGCTGTGGACCTGGATAATGCCTCAGTACCTGTGATTGGAGCTGCGGCGCTGTCAGCTTCCTGGCGGGCTCGGCACGTGGAACTGCGAACACGCCCGAGCCCATCCCTAATCATAAACACAAAAAAGCCACTAACATTCATGACATGTACCCCTTACATAACTTATTTTTTCTACTTGTCCCTTGATCTGTTGCCAGCCCACCTAAAAAATACTTCCAAGTATGTGACAACACATGACACTGACCCATCTCCTCACAGTGCAGCTCTTGGCTGCCTGAAAGGCATGAGCGCTGTCACATGGCCGTGGGAGGAGCATACACAATCACCACGTAGGTATCAACCTGCTTGGCTTAGGAACTTCATACAGCCTGGCAGCCCATCAGAACGACAGGGCAGTGATTGAAATGCAATCACATGCTTCCTGTTCTCCATGGATAAAAGTGAATTTGTTACTTTGTCTAAAATGAGCAAAGTACAGGTACTCTTTAAACATTTTGTGGGTGTGTAATACACCAGACAATACATAATTAGCGATGGACCTAAAAAGAACACTTAATGCCCAAGCTGAACCTTTAGCTGCACTACTTACATTTATAAACAAATCATATTTATAAAGGATCTTGAGGTTCCACTTCTACCCCATGTTGTGTCCTCCATCTCCAGGTAATGAGCGAACTCAACCTATTTCCTTCCGCGCTAATTTGGAAGGGTTCCCCGACTTGCCTGGATGGCTGCGTTATACTCAGCGCTCCCCATGGCACAGTGGATATTTGTACGGCTCCCCAACTAGCCCAGAAAAACACATCATAGAGGTATGTTCATACTGAAGAAACGTATCTACTTCAGAGACCATAGAAAACAGTCATCTGAATTATTCTCATCTGTTTTACAGATCAAAGTATATAATAGACACACATTTGAAATGCTTCGAGAAAAGATCGTTTTCCATATCCGTTCTGCAGATGGTAAGTGGCTCTTGTAGTTCTCATGGATGTGTAAGCCAACAATAGCATTTCACATAATGATGGAGCGTCCCTGGCTAAAATATATAAAAACCGAGTCCGAGACTATACGGTACCTATACATTGCTCTGCTTTGTTCCCATGTCTTGTCATGATCTCCGGGGGACTCCTTCATTAGAAGAGAGAATTAGGAAGAACGCAGATTGCAGGGATAAATGTTATCATTCATTTAATTCAGTCACCCATTATACCTTGACGACTTCAAGTGAATTTATTTCCAATTACATTGTTGGAGCTTTAGTAGCATACAAACAGACCGCACTATCCAGAGAATTCCAATACTTCAGAGTTTATTGCAATTCACAGCAAATCCAGTGTAACAGTGACTAAAAGTGTACAAAGCAACAAATGCCAGCACTGCACACCCCCAACTAGCTACAACCGCTCACATGTTTCACCCGTAGGCTTATTCATAGAGGTTCTCTGGATAGTGCGGTCTGTTTGAATACTACTACATTCCAAGGTGGAGACGCACCTATTGGACCAGCACCTGTGGAGTCCTGATGGTGGCTAAGGAATTGGAGCGGGGAGATTTCCTTTGGCTCTACAATTGTTGGAGCTTCGTCATTGCCTTGGCCTACACTGTCTAAACTGAGAGCATTATCTTCTCATGTACAGTAGCCAGATTCTAGTATTGGTTCAAGGAAGGTACACACCACAGTATAACACTGCAAACTAGTTCACCACAGCATAGGCTATACCTGCGGTAGGAAACCTTGGCAATCCAGCTGTGCTGAAACACAAATTCCATCATGACTCTGTCTTTGGGAGTCATACTTGTGGCTGTCAGAGTCTTGCATTGCCTCATGGGACTTGTAGTTCCACACAGCTGGAGTGCTGAGGTTGCCTACCCCTGGGCTATATTATATACTAAGCAGATGGCAGAATTACTAGTCAGTTGCAGATCTATAGTTCAATAGGAAGTTAATATGTGGAACATCTGTGTGCAGATATCAGGGATTTTGGGTGCTGGTATGGTGGGAGGGTGCTTTAAGAGCAGATCTTGGCACAGAAATGCTTGATACTTAATGGTGAGAAGAAGGTACATTTGTAAATAAAGGCATTAACGCAGTTATTCTGCCAAGGGTTTAAAATTACGTAACTAACACCAAAACCAAAAGTGTAATATATTGCAGATTACTGTTCCTTAGAATGCAATTCATTATTATTAATGAATAATAATTAATTGCATTTGAATTAATGGTCTATTAATGAACAATAAAGGGCGAAGGGCCCTGGGAATATCTGTGAACGTTGATTTTGTGCAAACAAAGACAAAAACGAATGTTCCTTTTCAAGTTGAATGTATTGTGATGTAATATTGCATTATGGCCACTAGATGGAGCTAAGGTGCATAGAAAAAAAGTATTTAGGAATGTAATACTGCATTGTGACCACCAGATGGAGCTGAGAAGCATAGGAATCAGCACTAGCACCACTAGATGGAACTGAGGAGCATAGGAAATAAGTATTTAGCAATGTAATACTGCATTATGGCCACTAGATGTATCTAAGGAGCATAGGAAACAGCACTAGTACCACTAGATGGAGCTGAGCAGCGCTGGCAAGAAGTATTTAGGAATGAAATACTGCATTATGGCCACTTGATGGCGCTGAGGACCATCGGAAACAGCACTAGGGCCACTAGATGAAACTGAAGAGCATAGGAAATAAGTATTTAGTAATGTGATACTGCATTATGGCCACTAGATGGAGCAGAGGAACATAGGAAACAACACTAGAGTCACTAGATGAAACTGAGCAGCATAGGAAATAAGTATTTAGGAATGTAATACGGCATTATGGCCACTAGATGGCATTGAGGAGCATAGGAAATTAGTATTTAGGACTGTAATATGGCATCATGGCCACTAGATGGAGCAGAGGAACATAGGAAACAGCACCACTGCCACTGGAGCCATATGATCCACTTCCTCATCTCATATATGTATTTTTCTCTAAAACGTCATATTTGTAGATGTGCCGCCGCCGTATCGAGCTGAGTTTTTGGTGGAAAACATGGACGTGGAGGAGATGCTGCCCCCAGAGGCTCAGCACAGCTTCCAGGTTCCCTTGCAGGCTATCTGGAACACCCAGCGTCTGTCCATCATTAATATCACATCAGCTCTGGACAAGGGAGGACGGGTCCCGCTCCCACTTCCAGGACGTAAAGAGGGGTATTTATAGACTTCTTCTACTTTTATCATCTCACCATATTTTTCTGCTCTTAAAGGGATTTCAAAGTTTCAGGTTAAAAAAAAAAAATGGAGGCCTTCTTTAAAATGGAATTAGTTTTCCTAAACGCTGTCTGTTTGATGATTGAGGGGGACTCTATTGCAGCTTCTAATGTACATTGTGAGAAGCTCACCGTGTGTAGTGAAATCAAAGGAAGTTCAGTCCAGGAGAGGAGCCGGTACAACTGTGCAAGACTGAAGGGAAGGCCGGAGCTCCGCTTAAACAGAAACAATCTTGCTGCTGGCTATAATTTTCATTTTTTACACTTCATACGTATTTCTGCCAGTCCCGTATTCTCTTATCTTTTCAATGACCTTGAATCTGAGGCTGCAGTAACAGGAGCCTCCGGGAACATCCTGGAACCTGATGGCAACAGATTATATGAAACTTGGATTAAAGTGTAACCAAATGGCACAATTTTCTTTTTTCTAGTATAGTGTAAGGTTAGAACTGCTGTCTGTGTCCCTGCTGGGGTAGTGCTGGTGACTAGGGATGTCCCCATACCGATACTAGTATCGGTATCACGGCTGATACCAGGCATTTGATGAGTACTTGTATTCATGAAAATGGCACAATTCTTAAGGCCGATACCGGCCCTTTCAATTTTTAAACAGCAGCGGCTGTCTGAGTTCCCGCGCTTGTGGGGACCTCAGCAGCCTGCTGGGGACCTGCAGATAGCTGTCCATGGCAGTGCCTGTCCGGTTCTTTATCTCCTCCTCTTCCTTCCCGGTGCAGGCACAGCCACGGACAGTCACAGGGGAGGGACTACTGGCGGTGCAGCCAAAACGGCCACCCCAGGGCTAGAAGCTGGGGGTTCCCGCAGCACACTGACAGGGCAGGACTGGGCCGGGAGATGAATGAAGGTTGGGGGGCACAGCAGCGGAGATAGTAAGTCGGGGGGCCAACGGAGACGGTCTCGACATGGAGGCGGCTGGGGCCCAGCATTGCCGCTCCGGACGTGGAGGAGGTCGGGTCCCAGCATTGCCGGTGAGGTGGAGTGCCTATTATAAGATAAGATAAGATAACAAAACCAGCTTTTGCTGCAATATTCACCTTCAATGCAGAAATGTCCCCCGTGATACTACTTTTTTGCCACTAGATGTCCTCAGTCTGAATGCCAGCGTCATTCCACTCACTTATTCTGAGCCCAAGGTGTCCTGGACCTACCCCCATCCTGTAATTGGAGAGTGAAAGGAGCGCAGTGAAGAGGTCACCTCCCCATCACTCTGCTCTCTCCTATCAGCGTGTTATTTGTCAGTACATGAACTAATCGGCTCCTTGCGATGCTTCTTCCGCTCATGCTGTCCAGATCAGAATTTAGGTACTTGCATTTAAAAAATACATTTAATGGAGTACTAATGATTGCAGATCTGCACTGTGTCTTTTATATCACTTTAAGTTTTGGCTTTACATACACTTTCTAAGATAAATTGAGCCTTAGCAGTTCACAGCAGTTCATTAGCAATCCAGTGACTGCATGTACTGCTCGGACAAGAGCCCGGCTTGCCATGCCGATCTGCACGCTCTGCCAAGCTTATGATGATTGGCTTTCACCCAAAATCCGTGTTACAATGTCTTGTGCCTTTGTATAAGCGTAGCAAGGAGATGACACTGTTAGTCCTTTCAGTAGAAGGGACCGATTGCTGTGCGTCACCCTTCCCTGTACAGCATTACGGAATAGGTCAGTGCTATAAAATTGGCTAAAATGTTTTTGTTTCGCCATGCTGCATCACAGTATGAAAACTGCTAGACATAATAGAGGATTGTTAGATCTACAGCCAATAAAACAGCAAAGTAAGCGTATAGCCTTCACTATAGAATTAGGGGAAGATGCACTTATGGAGAGGGTGGGAAGTGGTGGGAAATGTAGCCGGGGATTACTTGCTGGAAAAACATTAATGCCGCACAGATGTTGTTGATGTAAGGATTAAGTCGGATGCTTTATTAACCTCTTGCATCGGCTGTTAGCGTATCTGCAGTGGAATCGGAGATAGGGTTGCCACCTTTTCTTCTAGTGAAACCCGAACACTCTAGCGACGCACTGACATTTTTTTTGGAGAATGAGTTTGTATGTAAATAGCGCCGCCCATTCATATGTAAATATCACAGTTGAGTTTTATTTTTAGTGGGGGTCCAGTAGCCCCTATCTTAATTTTAGTTGCCCCTGTCTGCATGACATCTTGTGTCCGGGTTTCTGCTGCTATGAAATCCGGACACAGCATTCAAAACCCGGACTGTCCGGGTCAATCCTGGACAGGTGGCAACCCTACCCTAGTTGTTTTCTACATTTAGCCCATCATAATGTCTCCGAGATCACTTCTATGCAGCCTGCAGGTCCATCCTCCCCCCCCCCCACCATGTAACTCTCTCCTCCATGTAACTCTCTCCTCCATGGTCGCCTCTGTCCGAAGAGCTTCAAGATGGAGAGCAGTGAGCAGAGCGGAAAATGTCCGTTCTCTGCTCTGCTCTATGTAAACAGTGAGAGGGGAGAGCTGCACCGGCATCCTTCCCATCTCAGCTGTCACAGGAGTTCCAGCACAGCGCTGTGCTAGAACTCCTGCATTGGAGGTGACAGGTTCAATAAAGAGAACCTGTCACCTCCAAATGCTATCACACAGGGGCTTGTTATCTCCTGTGTGATAGCAAAAAAGTTAAGAGGGGGAAAAAATTGGAGAAAATAAATAAAAAGTTTAAAAAATAATAAATAAAATTAAGAAATGTGATTAAAAAGTAAACAATTATAAGAAAATGTTTTAATAAAAAAAACATTATTTTAAAAAGTAAAGTTAAAAAAATAATAATATTAAAAAAGTGACAAGTAGAAAAATAAATAAAAACATTTAAAACTAATCCTCCCCCCCCACCATCCACCCACCATCTCGTCCCTTTAGATCCTTTAGTAGCCCATACAGAAGGTCTGGTGATAGGAATTCAATACAATGTTTGAATGCAAAGATACTAATCCAATCATGTGTAATGATATCACAGCTCTGGGTATTGCTCACCACCCAAAGCAGTGGCCTTGTGTGCATGTTGCTGAATTACAATTGAGCTGGCTGTGCGTTCAACTTCTCTGGTGACCACCTTTTCAGCTTTATTTCATAAAGTTGCAGAAACCAGCAACCAACTGGCTTTCAGATAAGTTAACCTTTCATATTGGTTGCTATGGGTTATTGCAGTGTAGTTTTATTGCAGTCAAGATGGTGTCCTGTGGTTCAAGGCAATGGACCCTTGGAAGGAAAGTTTAACCAGATTGGACTATCCTTAAGGAGACCAAGGGGGAGACACTGATGGTAGTAATACCCAGAAATACTAATCATGTGATATGTAATGATATCACAGCTCTGGTTTTAGGTGCCACCCACCATCTGTGGCGGTGGCGCTGTGTGTATGCTGCTGTCATAAAGAATAACATGGTTGTGAGTTCTAATCCATGTGCAACCACCTTTTAATATTTATTGACTAAAATTGTAGAAACTGCAGAAACCAATAGCAACCAATTGGCTTTCCGACTAGGTAGCCTTCTATATGGATTGCTATGGGTTATTGCACTGTGCAGATGGAGGGCATCTTTTATTTCAGGGCAATGAACTCTTGAAAGTAGAGTTTAATCAGAAGGGAGAGCCTTTAGGAGGCCAAGTGGGACCCTGGTCTAGGTCTGATGGCAGCAATGTAACACAATGATTGACCATTAAGCCACTAATTATATGGCAAGCATTGATATCACAGCTCTGGTTTTAACCCCCCAGCCCCGTATCTGAGGTGGTGGTGTTGTGTATGTGCTGCTAACCTCAATGATAACATGATTGTGAGTTCAAATCCCCATGCAATCATTATTTCAGATTTATTTATTAAAGTTGTATAAACTGCGGAAACCAATGGAACCCCATTGGCTTTAGACTAGGTAGTGTTTCATATTGATTGCTTTGGGTTATTGCACTGTGCAGATGGAGGGCATCTTTTATTTCAGGGCAATGAACTCTTGAAAGTAGAGTTTAACCAGAAGGAATAGATTTTTGGAGGCTGTTTGACCATTAATCCACAATTCGTATGGTGTATAATGATATCAAAGCTCTGGTTTGGGCCCCACCCCCCATCTGAGGTAGTGGCGTTGTGTGTATGCTGCTGACCACCAAAATAAAATGGTTGTGAGTTCGAATCCCCCGAGGACCACATTTTCAGATTTATTTATTAACATTGTATAAACTTAAGAAACCAGTATCAACCAATTGGTTTTCAGACTAGGTAGCCTATCATATTGGTGGCTTTGGGTTATTGAACCTTGCAGGCAGTTGAGATGGTGTCCTTTGGTTCAAGGTAATGGACTCTTGAAAGTAACTGAGCTAAGTGGGAGGCTATCCTAGGTCTAATGGCAGCGATTAAATACAATGGGTGACCATTAAACCACAAATTTTCTGGTAGGCAATGATATCAAAGCTCTGGTTTTGGCCCCGCCCACCAACTGAGCCAGTGGCGTTGGGTGTATGTTACTGACCATAAACATAAAATGGTCGAGAGTTTAAATCCCCAGGTGACCATCCTTTCAGATTTATTTATTAAAGTTGTATAAATTGCAGAAACCAGTAGCAACCAATTGGCCTTCAGACTACGTAGCCTTTCATATTGGTGGCTCTGGGTTATTGAACTTTACAGGCGATTGAGATGGCTTCCTTTGCTCCATGGCAATGGACTCTTGAAAGTAACTGTTTTTTTTTTTTTACCAGCTGGAGATAGTCATTGAGGCCAAGATTCATTTAACCATTAATACGCCAATCATATGGTATGTCATGATATCACAGCTCTTGTTTTGGCCCCGCCCACCATCTGAGGCAGTGGTCTTGTGTGTAGGATGGCGATCTCACTAATAGAATGGTTGTGAGTTCGAATCCTCAGATGGCCACCTATTCAGATTTATTTATGAAAGTTACATAAAGTGCAGAAACCGATAGCAACCAATCAGCTTTCCTACCTGGTACGGTTCATATTGGTTGCTACGGGGTACTGCACTTTACAATTTGTATTACCTTACTTGATCAGCTCAGTTGAATTTGAGTTGTATTACCACTGCTCACAGACTCAAGCACCCAGGGCTGTGGCTCAGTCACATGAAGGCTGACGATTGTTGAATCTCAAGGCCAAGTGTTCAATTCCCAAGGTAGAACAAACTACCTAATGGCTGTTTGGGGTGAAACAGCAACAATGTGCTTGGTGGAATTTGAAGGGGCATCCCTGGTCACAAAAACCCGGTAAAAGGTTAACGTGTGGACTTTCTCCCCAAAGAACTATGAGGTGGTTGGCACCATGTGAATGAAGAGGCATCCACTGTTCACAAAAACCAGGTGAGGGGTTAAGGAGTGGACCTTCTCACCAAAGAGCTATGAGGTTGGCACCGTGTGCATGGACCCACAGTGGAATACACTCAAGCCATGAAGGGGCATCTCTTGTCACTCTGGTTTTGGCCCCACCCACCAACTGAGCCAGTGGCGTTGAGTGTATGCTACTGACCATAAACATAAAATGGTTGAGAGTTTAAATCCCCAGGTGACCATCCTTTCAGATTTATTTATTAAAGTTGCATAAACTGCAGAAACCGGTAGCAACCAATCGGCTTTCAGACTAAGTAGCCTTTCATATTGGTGGCTCTGGGTTATTGAACCTTGCAGGAAGTTGAGATGGCGTCCTTTGGTTCAAGGCAATGGACTCCTGAAAGTAACTGAGCCAAGTGGGAGGCTTGCCTATGTCTAATGGCAGCAATTAAATACAATGGGTGACCATCAAACCACTAATTGTCTGGTAGGCAATGATATCAAAGCTCTGGTTTTGGCTCCACCCACCATCTGAGGCAGTGGCGTTGGGTGTATGCCGCTGACCACCAAAATAAAATGGTTATGAGTTCAAATCCCCAGGTGACTACCCATTTAGATTTATTTATTAAAGTTGTATAAATTGCAGAAACCAGTAGCAACCAATTGGTTTTCAGACTAGATAGCCTTTCATATTGGTGGCTCTGGGTTATTGGACCTTGCAGACAGTTGAGATGGTGTTCTTTGGTCCATGGCAATGGACTCTTGAAAGTAACTGATTTTTTTTAACCAGATGAAGATAGTCATTGATGCCAAGATTAATTTAACCATTGACCCGCCAATCATATGGTATGTCATGATATCACAGCTCTGGTTTTGGCCCCGCCCACCATCTGAGGCAGTGGTCTTGTGTGTAGGATGGCGATCTCACTAATAGAATGGTTGTGAGTTCGAATCCTCAGATGGCCACCTATTCAGATTTATTTATGAAAGTTACATAAAGTGCAGAAACCGATAGCAACCAATCAGCTTTCCTACCTGGTATGGTTCATATTGGTTGCTACGTGGTACTGCACTTTACAATTTGTATTACCTTACTTGATCACCTCAGTTGAATTTGAGTTGTATTACCACTGCTCACAGACTTAATCAATCAGCGCTGTGGCTCAGTCACATGAAGGGTGGCGATTGTGGAATCTGAAGGCCGAGTGTTCGATTCCCAAGGTAGAGCAAACTACCTAATGGCTGTTTGGGGTGAAACAGCAACAATGTGCTTGGCAGAATGTGAAGGGGCATCCCTGGTCACAAAAACCTGGTGAGAGGCTAAGGTGTGGACTTTCTCCCCAAAGAACTATGAGGTGTTTGGCACCGTGTGAATGAAGAGGCATCCACTGTTCACAAAAACGAGGTGAGAGATTAAGGAGTGGACCTTGGCACCGTGTGAATGAAACCTCAGTGACATACCCTCAAGCCATGAAGGGGCATCTCTTGTCACAAAAACCTGGTGAGGGGTTAAAGAAGGAGTGGACCTGCTCCTTAAAGAACTGTGAGGTTGGCACCATGTGAATGAAACCTCAGTGAAGTAAACTCCAGCCATATGACCTTGCTGTCCAGGGAGACATGTGAATGAAATGCCAAAGAAGGTGCACCCTTACCATGGCAAGGGGATATAGAGTGACCTGGCAAGTTGGAAGAGGCCAAGTGCCTCACAGAAAAGCAAGCAAATTTTGCCTAAAATTAAGGAAATGTTCAAGAAACCCTTCCCAGGTCTCTCTGTCCACTCCATCATCCTCAGTGCACAGCTTTCCTTGGAAATTTGGCTACTTCACCAAGGATGGTGATCCGCACCACCACTTCAAGTTTCCCAAGGAAGGTGGTGCCTCACCACCACATGTTCAAGCTCTAAGCACTTCCACTGGGTCTTCACACAATTTTGCACCCATCACACAACCAGTGGTCTTGGTCCTGCTTCAAGTGACCAACTTTGCACTCACTGGTGGGAGTTGAACCCACAACCCCCTGATTCAGGCTCCAGTAGCCTTACACACTGCACCACAGAACCAGAAGACAACATAATGAGTTGCTCATGTTCCTATATCATGGAGATTGGCTCTCTGAGCCCATTGAACACTAAAACAAACATGTTACCACAGAAGAGATTCAAACCGGGAAAACCAAGGCCTGCAGCATTCTAAAGCAGCAATCAAACCACATGCACCACAAGGACTGGACATGTGCAAACCTTCTCAGTAAAAGTATATACTAAAGACAACTTTGGAGGTGGGACTACAAAAAGTGTACAGGGGCTCATAAATCACAGAATTTACCTCTCTACATGCAGATTTGAACACACCACCTAGAGCGTAAGATGAGCACTCTACCCACTGAGCTACTTCAACAGAACGCAGAATGCAAATCACTGTGCAACCAATATGCTGAGTTGCCATCACTTCCCTAGCAGAAAGCCATTGGCACAAGTGCCTAGCACAGGCCACATAGCACAGAGCCATGGTGCAGCTGGGAAGGATTCCAACAAAATTGTCAGGCTCTACCCCAGCTCCCTAAGTGACAGCTGGCTCCGCCTCTAGAAGTCAGCTGTGCCCCTCTTTTCCCCAGTCTGTCCTTCCAATGAGCACTGTAGTAGGGTCGCCACCTTTTCTTCAAGCAAAACCCGAACACACTCGAGCGACGAGGCGCACTTTCAGTATCGATTCCTCACAGGTAGAGTGCATTTGGTATCACTCCGTGTGTGACAGGAGGCGGCGCTATAGAGGAAACATCGGCTTATGCAGCTCTGCTCCCTGCCCTGCCGCCTCGCTTCCTCTAGCGCTGGCTGTGTTGGCACCGCTGATTCTCTCCCGCGGCTCTTCAAGTTCCCCCTTATGCCACCACCGGCCCTGGGAATGGTCACAACTAGGTCTTATTTTCGGGGTAGGTCTTATATTTTAACAATTCCCAAAAATGGTACTAGGTCTTAATTTCGGGGTAGGTCTTATTTT